TTAGATTCTTGATGAATGTGTGTTGTTGTTATTCAGCCTGGTTCAATGTGCCCCTTTTTAACTTTGAGCACCCGCCCCTTTAAACCTCTCTGCACGGCCCTGTGTGTGTGTTTGTACGTGTGTATTTTAGTTAATCAGTGGCAATGAGCTGTCACTGTTTAATGAGAAGCAAGATAATAATACCAATCTTCTGAAAATGTGTTTTTGAGGTCAAGGTAGCTGGTGTTCATTTTTTAAAATAATTAACATACTATGATATTTACCCCACAGAATATGTTTCAACAAAGTATTATGAATGAAAATATGTTATAAAAGCAATAAATGACTCTCTTTTTTTACCTTTTACCTTTTTAGTATTTGCCTGTGGCACTTCTCTACTGATAGGTATCATGTTATGTACACATGTAAACAAACACACACACACGTGTATATATACACGCCTGCGAGGCATTGGCTGGTGCCACAGCTAATATGTCTTTTAATGTCACACATTGCGCTGAATTCATTTTTACTTTCATTTTCTTTTTCTGTCTTAGCCTTTCAGCTGAAAGTTTTCACACTAAACTCTTCAATAAGTCACAGCGAAGGTAGGAGAGGCCCAAGTGTCATTAAGAGATTTGATTGGGTATTACAGTGTCGGCAATGAAAATGAACGAATGGGCTAGAATGGTGCGTGTATGGTACAGTGCGCAGCGGTGCTTCAATTGGCCCCGAGGTGCGTCGGGTAAATTAACTGTCCACCCCTAAATTAAGGCACGGTACATGCACAACACGCCCACAGCTAAAACAAGATAGCCTGTCGTGTTTAAAAAGCTGTGTGTTAGGTCCACTTGGATTTTTGCATTTTGCAGCCACAGGGCAAAGACAAAAGCCACGCAGAACACTGAACTGTTTATTAAGAGAGTGAAGATGGACAACTGGACAGCGGCTCTGCTCACTGGTGTTGCCTGCATTGTGGGATACCTGGTTGTGCGGGTGAAAAAGATCAACAGCCTCCGACAGGCGGAGGAAAAGATACAGAGAGCCAGAAACAGGAGAGATAAGAGCTTGCAGCGGGCAGAGCAGGCGGTGCTCCGGTACAAACAGTCGGTGAGAGTTCAGAGCTTTAAACACTGAAATGTTTAACTTTTTCTTTAGATAGAAATCAAAACAAATGATGTGCTTTTAGTTTAGCCTAGCGGAGGTTTAGTTATTAATTTCCAAATTACTGACACTTTTTGTTGTCAACATGCATACAAAAACTTAAAAACACATTAATATTATGCTGCTCTTCTGGATTTGTTTTGTTGGCCCAAGTTGACACATAACTTCACACACGCGGTTTGTCAGCTGCACGTCTCCTGTTCCACCTCACCCTAAAGTTGCTCTGTTGGATCTGTGGTGGTCCCTAGAGACGAAGCACGCACAAACTCCAAAACACTTGCAAAATCCAAAACTTTTGTAAGTGTTTTGGATTCTGTGCGTGCTTTGTCTCTAGGGGCCACCGTAGAAATCTGGTGATTGTGTAACGCGAGGGCTCACTAGATGGTTTGGAATCTCTCTGAATAATTAGGAACAGCAAGATGGAGATGGATAACTTTTTAGCAGCCTCTTTACTCTCCGCACACCGCAACAACTCACACTTTCTGTGTACCGCCCTCATGAATACTTCACTGGCCTCTCAGAAGCCAGGAAATCTTGAACTCAGATCAGAACAGGGAGAACAACTAGGTAGATATAACACATATTACTGGTTTGAACATGCATGTCTAAACATTCAAACGTGTAAACATGTAAATATCAAAACGCGTAACCACCAAATAGCTACATAACTAGCTTTATAACCTTTGTAAACACCTCTTTGTATATCAAATTAGATTTCAATTTACTTCTACACTTTACAATTGTGCAGAAGTACAGGAAGTAGGAGTCCTGAATCTATACACTGATATGGTTTTCTTTCTTTCTTACAGCTTTATAAATTTTTATAACATAATGATTCTGTGTGGGTCTGTGTCTTCTAGCTTCCCACGACTGACTCTGCTTTGATCCTGAAGCTCTCCCTGTCTGAGCTGACACAGCAGCTGAAGGACGGCTCACTGAACCCTGACAATGTGCTTTACTCTTACATGGAAAAGGTTCATTATCCAGCATGACACAAGAGTTCACTGCCTAACATAACACAGATCTTTTTATCTGAAGGTTGACCGAAATACAATATATACACCAGTTTATTTTAGCTAGCATAAACACTAAGTAATCTATTTTATTTTCCAGTGAGAGTTTAATATTTTACAGAGTGCTTACACAGATCAGTATCCCTTTAAAGTAAATAAGTTCACCTGAATCTGTCTGTGCTTGTTTCCTTTCAACAGACTCTGGCTGTAAACCAAAAGCTGAACTGCTGCACTGAAATTTTGCTGGAGAGTTTGGACCAGCTGACAACTGTTGGCTCCAACAAGGATGGTCTCTTGTACGGAGTTCCAGTTAGCATCAAAGAAAATATTGCATTTAAGGTAAGAATAATTTAATCAATTAATGTATTTGTAGTGCAAACAAATGGCAGTTACGCTATAGGCAGTATAATAATGGACGAATGCAGCTAGGACACCAACCATTGCTTTCTGGAGTCCAACCTCAAGATGAACTTTTCCACCGTTGCCAAGTTGGTTGCAAAAAGCTAAACCTGACATGGAGGAGTGGGTCTAAATTGCTCACTTAGCCAGTGAGCAAGCAGTTTCACAATATCCTTGGGCAAGATACTAACCCATATTTGCCTACTGGTGGTGGTCAGAGGGCCCTGGTGGCGCCAGTGTCCGGCAGCCTCGCCTCTGTCAGTGCGCCCCAGGGTGGCTGTGGTTACAATGTAGCTGCCATCACCAGTGTGTGGATGACTGAATGTAGTGTGAAGCACTCCGGGGTTCTTAGGGACTAAGTAAAGCGCCATTTACCATTTTACCAAGTATTAGAATTAAAACAGTTAATTTTATAAATCATGAGCAACACATAAATACTGACTCTAGTTCTTATTTCCACAGAACTTGGAAAAGCTGGTTTTAAATGGTTTGCTGCCTATGAATTAAATGAACTACACAAAAACTATGATGTTACAATCTTTGATTTCATTTGATAATTTAAAAAGGTTTTAGACACATGTCTTTGTTAATTTGTGATCACGTTTACTGTGTTGTTTTATCTTTCTCAATTTCTTGGCATTTTTTGTAAGCAGGTCCCTCTTTAGAAAGAGATCTCAATCTCAGTGAGAATACTGTATAAATTAAGGTCTTAATAATAATGTTATTTATGATCTCTGAATTTCACTTACAGGTTTTCAAAATATTAAGGTATGGCATTTGTGTAGTCTTTGATGCACTCTTGTGTTCTTTAATTTACTTCACAAGGATCATGACTGTTCTTGTGGTGTGATCATTAACCTGGACCAGCCCGCTGAAAAGGACAGTGTGCTTGTTCAAGTCCTGAAGAAACAAGGAGCTATTCCCTTTGTGAAAACCAACTTGGCCCAAGCCCTCATGAGGTACATTTTTTAATCAAGAATTCAAATTTAAAACAACTCTGTGTACTCATGGGTGAATGAGGAGAGTGCTTTAAGTCCCCTGATAGAGTAGAAACACACTATATAAGAACCAATACATGTACCATTCGCATCTTCCATGTGTGTATTTTATGTAAAGACTCATAACCTGTCTTTGTTTGTCTGCGTCCACCTTTAGCTATGACTGCAGTAATCCTATCTACGGGCAGACTGTGAACCCTCATAACCCCCAGAAGACTCCTGGTGGTTCATCTGGTGGGGAGGCGGCTCTCATTGGGGGAGGGGGCTCCCTGCTCGGTATAGGCACTGATCTAGGTGGCAGTATCCGTCTTCCGTCTTCATTCTGTGGAATCTGTGGTTTCAAGCCAACTGCTCACCGACTGAGGTAGATCCTTTTTAGTCATAGAAAATGATTGTAAATTGATGAGTTAAGGTTTCTTTATTTGTTAACACCTTTGGATAATGAACAGTTTACAGGGTTTTCGTTCAATTTGTCGAGGACAAAAGTCAGGTAAGAAACTAGCACATGAAGTAAATGCAGATGATATATAACCAGTGTCTAATAATATTACACAAATTTTCTGGAACATTTTGTTCAAAACATTTGCTTTATGCTTGCTACTAAACTAGTGTCGTCATCTCCTGGACCCATGGCAAGAGATGTGGACAGCCTGGCTCTGTGCATGCAGGCGCTTCTTTGTGACCACATGTTTTCTTTGGACCCCACTGTTCCACCGTTACCTTTTAACATGGAGGTGTGTCCTGTACTGTGGGATTCATGTCCTCTGTTGATGATCATCTTTTCTATATATTTTCAGATCATTCATAGATGTTAGAAACTAGAAATTAATCAAGTTAATTTTCTTAACACATCTCTCTATGCTAAAAGACGAAGTTCTAAAGGACAAAGTTAATAGTCTTCCTATAACATTTCCAAGTACTTTTTTTTATGAGAGCAAACGATTTTCAACATTTTCACCATTTCTAAATTTACCGGTTTTCTTTTGAACACATACACTATTTCTGTTTACACACAATCTTTGAACTGTAGCAGAAATACAACAAAATTAACCTGGGCCAATAATATAATAACCCCTGGAAAAGCTGACCTTTTTAAAAGTCATTGCATTTGTAATGTTCAAAGCTCTTCAAGTCAAGTTGAAACTGAGGGCTATTTTCCAATTTACAGTACAAAAACCTCAGGAAGGGTTTGAGCTGTTGAGAAAGCATCATGTAAAAAAAAAAAAGCAAATAAATACATAAATAAAGTTTTAAACTTAAGAAAAAGAATTGTTAATCCTTGCAAAGGATGAGATGGTTATACAAAGTTATCACAGCATTTCCAAGTGTCACAATGTGGAGTCAGAAGTATCAAGAAATTCAAAGAGAGCCACAGAGTACAGAACAAGCCTGGCAGAGGTGAAAATTGAAAGATTTAATTGATTCTGGGAAGAAAACTAGTGAGAAATATGTCTAAAGACCTTAGCCAAGACACTAGTGAATGTCTTAACCAAGCCTGGAATTGTAATCTCAAAGAAAACATTCGCTATGACCCTGCATACAGTCAGGTCCATAAATATTGGGACATCGACACAATTCTAACATTTTTGGCTCTATACACCACCACAATGGATTTCAATTGAAACGAACAAGATGTGCTTTAACTGCAGACTGTCAGCTTTTATTTGAGGGTATTTACATCCAAATCAAGTGAACGGTGTAGGAATTACAGCAGTTTGCATATGTGCCTCCCACTTGTTAAGTGAACGTTATTGACTGGCCTGCACAAAGCCATGGCTGTAATCCCATTGAAAATCTGTGAGTTTAAACAAAGACCAAAGTAAAATAATGTAACCATCCAAAATAAAATTAAGATGCTTGGAAAAAACCGTGTTAACAATCCCTTGCTCTTCTTAACAGCACTTGGGAATACTTTTAAAAAGCTGAAATTTTCTTTGGTGGGCTAATAATTCTGTCCTCATCTACAGATATACAGAAGCTCCAGACCTCTTAGGATTGGTTATTTGGAAAATGATGGCTACTTGCAACCGTCTCCAAGCATGGTCCGAGGTGTCAGAGAGGTCAAAGCTCTGTTAGAGCAAGCAGGGCACACAGTAAGACGTCACCACACACATGTAATCGTTACTGTCCTGAATTGTTATGAACCCCCTGTTATGTTACAGGACAATCAATCAATCAATCAATCAATCAATCAATCAATCAATCAATCAATCAATCAAGGCTTTATTCGCCACATGCACGTTGCCCTGCTGTGAAATGGGACCCCCCCCCGACCTTACACACACAACACAGACATCACATGGGGATACAAGTCGGAAATCGGTAGCGTTACAGAAAAACACTGAAATATACACTACAATGGGAAAGTACAAGAGGAAAAAAAGAGACCTCTACTCATGCTGGGCTCCTGAGAGGACAGCATGAGAATGGGAAACAAAAAAAACCTCCTCTGCACAAAAAGCACATAAATGTCCACAGCACAACATTGGGGGGTGTGTGAAGAGTAATCCGGAGCTAACGCAGCAGCCATCCCGCCCTGCGCTATTATTCCAGCGCGGGCCCAGACCCGCTGTGTTCCCAGGAGGGAACAAGCATCGAAGGCGTTTGGAAAGGGAGGGGGGATGAGTGAGTGCGTATCAGTGTATGCGTGTGCGTGTCCAGAGTTCAGCTGAGACAGTGTCCAAACTGACCCTTTTAAAAGTTAAGCCATCTAGAAAATCTAAAAAATTGTTAAAAGTATTTTTTTATATAAAACTTCTTCTGCCTGGCTTAAAGAGTGTAAATATGTACACACACACACACACACACACACACACACACACACACACACACACTAATAATCACTGCCTAGTATTTGATAGCCATACATCTTTAATGTTCTCTTTTATGCCTTTAGTTGGTTCCTTACGCTCCACTGAAAATCAGCCAAATTGTTCCTGAGCTATTAATAACGGGTGTATATGCAGATGGTGCTACCACCCTTCTACAAAAACTGTGAGTTGTACCTTTTAATAATTCATCTAATCACTTCTCATGAACTTAAAACATCTAATAAATGTATGATTTTTTTTCAGTGCTAAGTTGCAGGTGCTAGCATGATAAACTAAAATACTGTAGAATACTAAAATCATTACATGTCATTTAGTGTCAACACAGTTATTTTGTGTGTGTAAATAATTAATTTCATTTTAGGAAAGGGGCACTTCTGGACCCTTCTCTGAAGCGGCAGGTTTTCACACACTCGCTCCCTAAGTGGTTTAAGAAAATCCTTTCCTTCCTACTAAAACCTGTGGTGAGTTTTCTCATTTGGTGACAAACATGTGTAAATTCAAGCACAGGACTGAACATAATCTTGGAACTTTTATCTGATAGAGCCTATGTTGTAAAGTGCCAGAATGTTTAAACTCACAGATTTTCAATGGGATTAAAGCCATGGCTTTGTGCAGGCCAGTCAATAACGTTCACTTGTTTTTTGCAGTCACCTCGTCTGTCTTCCAACGTGAGTGCTATTTGTGGAGTTCGGTGAGAAAGTATTGTTGAAATTCATCATCTGTACATGATTCTTTTTTTCATATAATACATGTAATGGGCAAAGTCACAAAATAATGCTTTATTTTTTAGATCTGTTTCCGATCTGTGGAAGCAACATGCTGCTGTTGAGGTAACTTTAACTTTCAACTAATGATGCATGGTTGAGTATCACAGTACAATTTCAAAAGAGGTGGGACACTGTGTATAATGTAAATTAAAACAGAATGCAATGATTGGCAAATCTTACCGACCTACATTTATCCACAATAGCACATAGAAAACAAATCTAATATTCAAACTGAAAAAATAATGTATACCATGTTCAGAAAAATGATTCTTCTACTACAAAGCCATGCTATTGTAATAGCTGCAATATACACTTTAGCATTGACTTGCTCAAATATCTTCAGCAAGAAAATATCATTCTAATGGAAGTTTTATGTTCCTCTAAACCTAAAACTGTACATATGTCTGTGAAGGTTAAACCTGTACACAACTTTCAGCATTAAAAAGTGTCTTTCCAGATATGCAAGCTGCTAATGCCATGGCACTGAAACATGCAGGCTTTTGAACTGAGCACTAATAACAAGCCAGATGGTTCCTTTTTCTTTAGTCCGAAGGATGCCGCATCCATGTTTTTCAAAACTAATGTCAAATTGTGATTTGTCTGGCCACAAAACGGTCTTTTACTTTGTGTCAGTCCATTCTAAAGAGGTTTGGCCCAAAGAAGGTGGTGGTGGTGTTTATGGATTATGTTCATATATGAATTCCCGTTTGCATGAGCTTTAGAGCTTTAAGCTGTATTTCAATAGCGACAGCTCATTTGGAAGAACTGAACATGATTTACTGAGATACAGAGTTCAGCTACTGGTTTGGCGATTGACCCATCATAGCAGAATCTTAGAGGTGATAGGAATTAGAAGTAGAGTATGGTAGTGGTGAAGATGAAGCTGGAGGCTTGCATGGAGCTCTGAGTGGACAGGCTAGAAGATGAGTGAACTAGAACAACGCTGTCGACACTGAGTTTGGCAGTGTGGAAAGAAAAAGTTATATAACAAAGATTAGCAGCCAAACATCCAGGACAGCAGGCAGATGAGTGATCGTATAGAGACAACACATAAGATTCATTTGTGGATAGCATGGCGAACTGTGTTTGCAGACAGTGATATCTGGAAATGTTGCTGAGCCAAAGCAATGATTTCCATGACAAAATCATCCCTGTTTTTAATGCACTGCTGCCCAAAGGCCCAAAGTTCACAAACTTTTGGCCTTGTCCCTTGCACAGAGAGATTTCACCAGAGTCTCTGAATCATTTAATGATAATGTACCGTAGATAATGAGATAGTTAAAAGTCTTTTTGTTTGTCAATTTTACATTGACAAATATTATTTTGAAATTGTTCTGTAATATGTAGATGCAGTTTTCTTTACTTCTGAGAAACTCTGCCTCTCTGAAAAACTTTATTTTTCCATCAGAGTCATGATACTGAGCTAATTAGCTGCATCAGCTTCATCCAGCTCTTTATTTCTCTTTTTTCACATATCTTTTGGCTTTTGTTGACCCCCTTACACCTTTTTTAGGTCTGTTTTTGCTGTCATCAAAAACAAAATAAGGTAATGTTTTTCATGAAAAAATTAAAAACATTCGAAAAGGTGCAGGAGGCATTGTAGCAGTCAGGTGCAAGTGAGTTAAACATGAAGGGAAGTATTTTCATGTGTGATTTAATATCCATATAGAAAAGAAGAAAATGTAATGAAGCGATTTTAATGAAGTAACCTCTACCTCATAGACAGTGTTGAGAAGGTTACTTTTAAAATGTATTCCATTACAGAATACATGCCCCAAAATGTATTCTGTAATGTATTCCGTTACGTTACTCAAGGAGAGTAACCTATTCTGAATACTTTGGATTACTTAATATATTATCATGCTGTTTACAACTACATGAATATACTATTGCTGTTCCACACCGTAGTAAAGGGACCTCTGACTAATACCTTGGGCTCGTAGCCAAAAACGAGCTTTACTTTGTTGTCTGGGTCACTTTGCTAGTGAGAGACAGAGAGAGGCGTTGAAAGGCTGCTCCAACGGAACTTATTGTTTTTGGAGGAAAACACCAACACGGTGTACAGTCGAGTCTTAATAGCTTACTTACACCTGGGCTCGTCAGGCTCTCTTCTTGGCTGCAGTGGTTATTATTATATTTACATGCTTCCAGCTCCCGTTTTTCCTCGATGACAACTCCTACTTTTCCTTTTTCTCCCTCCTCGCGCTCACAGACACATAACGGGTATGGCAGTCCATTCTCCCTGCAGCACGGACTACACTACCCATGATGCTACATTCTTTAGAGCTATGCCTGTAGCATTCTGCCTGTTAGCTTAGCACAACAACAACAAAAAGGCGCTCTCTCACCCAGGAAACACGCAGAGAGAGAGCGTCACCCTGTAACCATGGCATCCATAGCTGTCAAACAAAACCCAAACAGTCCTGACCCGCGACAATATGAAACAGGGAAGTACCGCCGTGTAATCCATTTATTTCAACAAAGTAACTGTATTCTGAATACCACCTTTTTAAAAGGTAACTGTAACGGAATACAGTTACTCATATTTTGTATTTTAAATACGTAACGGCGGTACATGTATTCCATTACTCCCCAACACTGCTCATAGATACCTCAGAGATAAAAGTGGGTGAAAAGTCAGAGAGAGAAAGGTTCAAGGTCAACAACACTGAGTGAATGTACGCAGAGGAAGAGGGGCAAGAGAGTGGGGAATGCAAATGTGAAAATTAGTATAGAAGAGGGCCTTCAGGGAACCAATCCAGGGCGAGAATGGCATTTTTTGAAGGAGAAGGTGGCTGAAGCAGTCCACAGAAGCCAAATCGAGGGAGGCTCCAGCCAAGAAATTGGTGTATAGACCCAGAGAAACTGGTGCTGGAGCAGAATAACGTCATCACAGTGGCCCGCATGTGGCCTCCATCTGAGGGCCCAAGAGATAGTGACTCAGGAGGCATGGGTCACCCTGCGTAATGTCTGCAGGTGGGAGAAGATATCTGCGCATCAGTGGAGAAAATCCCTCATTTGATGGACAAAAAAGCAGAAGAGCAGAAGAGTTCATGTGGAAATTGGGGCAGGTCTATGACACACTGGGCCATGTAGCCAGTAAGTCGAGACAGAGAGCCACTGGCAGACAGCAGCAGATCTGCATTCCCACATGCCAAATTAGGCAAGATCGGAAGGTCACAAACTCTGTAGTTTATGGAGCCCAGTGAAAATGATAAGAAGAATAAAAAAAAGAAAAGAAGACTAGACGCTGCATCACAAAAACAATCCAAGCTGGGAGAGAAGCAGGGACCAATGGCCAAGAATACCAGACCCACCACCCAGAGGGAAGAGTGATTATTCTGCAGCCTGAGGGTCACAGAAAAGTAAATATTTAGGAACAAGGGTGTATGTGTGTGTGTGCGTGTGTGTGTGTCTTTGTTGGTGTTATTTGTACCCAGGGGGTATGCAAACATGGCACACAGCCCAGAGCCTGTCTTGGTCAAATTGACTAAGTAAACAAGAGAATGTCAGATTTTAACATGTGTGATAAAAAAAAAAAAAAAAAACACTTATATTGTGTATATTGTGATTGGCATAGTTATAAATAAAAAGTAAGAAAAGCAGTCCTATGTGAATAAGTTGATGAAAATCGCGTTGAAATTAATATTCATATGTCATTGAACTATTAATAAATCCTAGTGAAGAAAAATAGCATAAACTGAATAAACGTGTACGGAAGTATATTCATATTGTGATTTAATATTCATATGTGATAGAATGTTTGATAAATCATGTTAAAGTGCAACATAGAAAAGTAGAGAATGCAATGAAGTGATGTTAATGAAGTAACCTCTGCTCTAGTTAAAAGTGGGTGAAAAGTAAAGACAGAATCATAAGGTATGAAGGTAAGATGCAGTAGGTATGGATATGAGATACCTATTGTGAACAGAAAATTTACAAGGTGGTAGAAAAAACGACTATGTTGGTGGACAACATATATAGAAAACCATCTAAGGTTTTAAGGTAAACCAGCATTTAAGGAGTGGGTGGATACAAAATCAAACCAAAAAGTTCTTTTTATTTATGGGGATTTCAACACAGATGTGATAAGTCCAGAAAAACATTAATAGACTGTATCTTAACTAATGAATCAGAAAACAAAATTGCCTTCTAATTAGTGACATCAGTGATCATTGTGCATTTTTCCAATCATAGTAACGACAAACAGGAAAATAAATTAAAATAAAACAGGTGAGAACAGAGGAATCCATGAATGCATTTAAAAGTGACCTACTTGAGGGGAAATTTGGAGGTAGTGTATAAGGAAAGGGATATTGATAAAGCTTATGAGACATTCTTAGGAAAATTTAAATTATTATATGACAGGCATTGACTAATAAAGCAATACTGCAACAAAGAAAAATATGCAGTTTGCCCATGGATCACACTAGGATTACAAAATGCATGTAAAAAGAAAAATACCATATATACCATATGAAATTAAAAAGCTGAAAATAAATATAACAAAATGTAAATTAAATAGCATTTTGACAAAAATTGTGCAAATTTATTAGACATAAAGAAAAACATTAACAGAGATTTGGAAAACATTAAAAACCATTATAAAATAGGTCTAGGCATTTAAATTACCCTGTGTAATAGGATATTAATAAGGATACAAATATTAGTGATGTTGGTGAAGTAGTTCATGAATTTAATAGATTCTTTGTAAGTGTTGGACCAGACTGATAGAAGTTTTGCAGCGAGAGCAGACAAACTTCAATGTTTGTATCAGCTGTGGAAGAAAAGAAAATCATGGACATTGTTGGGAAACCACAAAATCAAACTTCTACAGACTTTAATGGCCGTGATACAAAAATTGTTAAATAAACTATTAATGGTATCTCTAAAGCTTTAAGCATAAATGTGCGAATTCTCTCTACAAACTGGTGCATTAACATCACAAAAGTGATACAATTGTACAAAAATGGAAATCACAAATTACATGTACAGACTTTCACAATTCTCCAAAATACTGGAAAAGGTTTTCATTAACAAGCAGGGTTTCGTGAGGCTATGGGCAATTCGTTGATAAACATAAAATATTAATGGACTCAGTATGGTTTCAGATCAAACAAATCAACTATGGCATTACTGGAATTAATTGAAAACATCACTAATTACATAGATACAAAACACAATATAACAAGACAATGCACACTTTAGAGTTTTCATTGATCCAAAAAAGCTTTTGATAAAATTAATCGTGAAATATTGAAATATTACTTGATAAAATGGAGCACTGTGACGTTGTGCTTCAGCGGGTTGAGAGGTATTTGGAAAAATTGGGAAAATTGGTGAATTTTCATTTAGTGTGCAGACATTGTTTGTAGAGTCCTACAAAGGTCCGTATTGGGATCAAAATTGTTTATCCTGTACATCAAAGACATATGTAAAGCATCTGATATATTGCATTTTATTTTATTTGCAGATGATACAGATGATACAACTACTTACTGCATTAGGGCGCATTCAGAGCAGATCTTGAAAATTGTCACACAAGAAATGATTCAGTTAAAAACATGGTTTGATAAAACTAGTTATTACTAAATTTGAACAGAGCAAGTGTATACAAGAGCTGGGGGGAAGAAATGATGATTACTGTAAATCAATAGACTGCTAAGCACGAGGTAGGGATTAATAAGTATGTACATACTTCTTCCTACTCCATTTTGGACGCGATGATCAAGTGATTTCATGTCATATATGTGTGTGTGTGCACACCCGTGTGTGTGTACATATATATATTCAGCTATCTATGTATATGTTTATGCGAATATATTTGTTTGTTTGTTTTGTATGTCTGAATTATAAAAGGTTATCCCATTATCCCATTCCCATTGCCTCCAACCTCAAGAAGGACTGGGCAGTTCCCCTCAGCCATCGGTTCCATCCAAGCCCTGCACTGCCTGCTGTGTAATACTCATAGGATCAGAGACTAGACTATTTATCTAGAGTTCCTGTTTTGGAGTGCTGGTTCCACAGATCAACATAGGAGGAGACCTCAGAGTAGAACCAGGACATGCAGAAGAGGTTATTTCTCTTGGCTCGCCTTGAAAGGCCTCGTTGTTCCCTCGGATAAACTAGAGGAGGTGGCTGGGGAGAGAGAGGTCTGGGCTTTGCTTCTTAGGCTGCTAACCCTGTGACCCGGCCCTGAATTAGTGGAAGAAAATGGATGGATAGATATTAAAATTTCTCAGTTTAAATATTTCAAAATTTGTAAATCACTGCATTTTGTTTTTGTTTACATTGTACACAGTCTCCCAAATGTTTTGGAATCGCAGTTGTATAAAGGATCAAGTAAAATTTCCTGTTTTTTCTTTAGGACTATATTCAAGAGACAATAGCACATTGGAGGAGCTGCAATATCGATGTGCTGTTGTCCCCCATGATAGGGCCAGCCAGCAGGTTATTGCACGCTGACAAAGTTTCAAGTATGGTATACTGAGTATTAAAAAAAAGCATTATTGTCCGTCCATCTATCTCTCTCTTTTTTTCATTATTGTAATCTCAGGATAAGTTTGTGTGCTCCTAGGTGGCAGCATAGTTCCTGGGATTTGGGATCACATAACAATTATCTCATAAAAAATTAGGATTGCTGCCCTTCTCTAGTGCTAACACGCATGATTTAAAAAGGCAGAGAGTGAAGAAAAACAATATCTCCAGACATTAGTCAATTAGGAAAGTCACCTGTAGATTAGAACATTTGGACAAATAATAATATAAAGGCACTGTTACACTAAATAAATCACATGTTAATTAAAGAGCAACAGAATTTTGAAGGGCTAAAGAAAAGTGAATCTGTCTTAAAATATTTCATCATAACTAATCTACTTGTATTTTCTGTTATTTCAGCTGCTGTCAGTTGCACGATGCTCTACAATCTCTTAAAATTTCCTGCGGGTGTAGTCACTGTTTCCACAGTGACTGCGAAGGATGAGGAGGAACTAAAGCACTATAAGGGCTGTTATCAGGACAGTTTTGACAAGTCCCTCAAAGAGGTAACACATACCAGTGTGGGGAGACGGATTGAACACATTTACTGTGAGACCAGTTTTTCATGCAGTTTTAAAATTTCTAAACAAATGAATACAACTTTCAACTACACTGACTACACACAGGAAGATTTCAGGTGTGGTGGTGGGTAGGCCCATCTATCCTACATGGAACCAAGAGCTAAAGATCAGACGATTGAGACATTTTTTTCTTGTGGTTCTGTAATTTATTGACTCTCAGTTATACATGAACTTTATTAAATGTTCCACAATTTGTTAGTCAGCTCGAGGCAGAAGACTGCGGTCCAGCTGCTGAGCGTTAAGTGACAGGAGTGTGTTTTTGTGTTCAGGCAATGACTGGTGGCGAGGGTCTACCTGTGGCGGTTCAGTGTGTTGCTCTGCCGTGGCAGGATGAGCTCTGCCTGCGCTTCATGAAGGAAGTGGAACAACTGGTCAAAGAAAGCAAGAAGTAAAGCTGCTTTCTTCCTCAGTCTCACAGGAGAGGCTGCAGACTTCAGAGGCAATGTGTTAACTTGAGTAGATCCTATAAATGAGAGCTGAATCTTTCATAAATAGCAGAGCATTCTCTTTTTTTACAAATTTAATCTGGCAATTTTTGTGCCTTGACTATTTGCTAAAGTTTAAATAAATTTTAACAGTTAAAATTCAGGTTAAAGTCAAGGCAGTTTTATTTCTTTATGCCAAAATCACATGTAAAGGTTCTTCACAGGGAATGAACAAATAAATACATACAGCCATTAATAAATGGAACAGTACATTTTAAAAA